AAATTGAAATTGAAATAAGTTTATTGAGGTAAAATACAGACAAAGGGATGAGGTAGCTCAAGCTATTCTCACCCCGTTCAGTACATCGTGTTAATACATACATAGACACACATCACAAACAATAAACATATTGGATACGCGATCGGCCCTTGCTATTACTCGGCCCCGGAGTGCCTAACTACTCCACCAGCGATCCAAGGACTGCGTCGGTGAACACCGATAATGTTAAGTGGTTCAGTTGTAATGTTCAGAGCTCTCAACATGTAAACTTTACCCTTAGTCCCTCGTTACATCGTCCTCCCTCCTCTAACTACAAGTACGTTCCCAGTGAACTTAATTTAGCCCTTCCAGTAATCCATAATGACATAATTTACTGTGTGAGAAGGAATTTTACACTATATTGGGTTTCCAGCGTGAGTTGGGGCAGCCGGAGGTGACGCAAATTCCCACGCCACACCAATAGGAGCTGCCTCGTGTGGACCAACAGGAGCTGCCTCGTGTGGACCAATAGGAGCTGCCTCGTATGGACCAATAGGAGCTGCCTCGTATGGACCAACAGGAGCTGCCTCGTGTGGACCAATAGGAGCTGCCTCGTATGGACCAACAGGAGCTGCCTCGTGTGGACCAATAGGAGCTGCCTCGTATGGACCAACAGGAGCTGCCTCGTGTGGACCAATAGGAGCTGCCTCGTATGGACCAATAGGAGCTGCCTCGTATGGACCAACAGGAGCTGCCTCGTGTGGACCAACAGGAGCTGCCTCGTATGGACCAATAGGAGCTGCCTCGTGTGGACCAATAGGAGCTGCCTCGTATGGACCAATAGGAGCTGCCTCGTATGGACCAACAGGAGCTGCCTCGTGTGGACCAATAGGAGCTGCCTCGTATGGACCAATAGGAGCTGCCTCGTATGGACCAACAGGAGCTGCCTCGTATGGACCAACAGGAGCTGCCTCGTGTGGACCAATAGGAGCTGCCTCGTATGGACCAATAGGAGCTGCCTCGTATGGACCAACAGGAGCTGCCTCGTATGGACCAATAGGAGCTGCCTCGTATGGACCAACAGGAGCTGCCTCGTGTGGACCAATAGGAGCTGCCTCGTGTGGACCAATAGGAGCTGCCTCGTATGGACCAACAGGAGCTGCCTCGTATGGACCAAAAGGAGCTGCCTCGTATGGACCAACAGGAGCTGCCTCGTATGGACCAATAGGAGCTGCCTCGTATGGGCCAATAGGAGCTGCCTCGTGTGGACCAACAGGAGCTGCCTCGTATGGACCAATAGGAGCTGCCTCGTATGGACCAATAGGAGCTGCCTCGTGTGGACCAACAGGAGCTGCCTCGTGTGGACCAATAGGAGCTGCCTCGTATGGACCAATAGGAGCTGCCTCGTATGGACCAACAGGAGCTGCCTCGTATGGACCAATAGGAGCTGCCTCGTATGGACCAACAGGAGCTGCCTCGTGTGGACCAATAGGAGCTGCCTCGTATGGACCAATAGGAGCTGCCTCGTATGGACCAACAGGAGCTGCCTCGTATGGACCAATAGGAGCTGCCTCGTATGGACCAACAGGAGCTGCCTCGTGTGGACCAATAGGAGCTGCCTCGTATGGACCAACAGGAGCTGCCTCGTGTGGACCAATAGGAGCTGCCTCGTGTGGACCAATAGGAGCTGCCTCGTATGGACCAACAGGAGCTGCCTCGTGTGGACCAATAGGAGCTGCCTCGTATGGACCAATAGGAGCTGCCTCGTATGGACCAACAGGAGCTGCCTCGTGTGGACCAATAGGAGCTGCCTCGTATGGACCAACAGGAGCTGCCTCGTGTGGACCAATAGGAGCTGCCTCGTATGGACCAACAGGAGCTGCCTCGTGTGGACCAATAGGAGCTGCCTCGTGTGGACCAATAGGAGCTGCCTCGTATGGACCAACAGGAGCTGCCTCGTGTGGACCAATAGGAGCTGCCTCGTGTGGACCAATAGGAGCTGCCTCGTATGGACCAATAGGAGCTGCCTCGTATGGACCAATAGGAGCTGCCTCGTAGGACGATTAAGGTCTTCTTAATTAAAAATAAAACAAACTAATCGAGGATCAAAATAACAGACCAAGAGGTCTGCCCAGTCACTTGACTCACCTCAGGAGATAATTGTGTAATTGTTTAACTGCGAAATTATAGTTTGTAACTCGTTTAGCAATTAGGACATTGATATCTCTTGAGTGTTTAGATGGCGGCTTGATTAGTGTTTGGTGTTCAGTGTGTGTGTGTGTGTACTCACCTAGTACTCACCTAGTTGTGTTTGCGGGGGTTGAGCTCTGGCTCTTTGGTCCCGCCTCTCAACCGTCAATCAACAGGTGTACAGATTCCAATGTGTGTGTGTGTGTGTGTGTAATTACCTAAGTGTAGTTACAGGAAGAGAGCTACGCTCGTGGTGTCCCGTCTTCCCAGCACTCTTTGTCATATAACAAAGACATTGTGTGTGTGTGTGTGTGTGTGTGTGTGTTGGTGTGTTGGTGTTCAGTGTGTGTGTCTCTCCCTCGTTGTGTACAACTGTGCTCCGGATCTTGTGTGGAACTAATGAAGCATCATCTTCAGGGCCCCTAATCCTGGAGGGCCCCAGAAGCATCATCTTCAGGGCCCCTAATCCTGGAGGGCCAGAGAAGCATCATCTTCAGGGCCCCTAATCCTGGAGGGCCCCAGAAGCATCATCTTCAGGGCCCCTAATCCTGGAGGGCCAGAGAAGCATCATCTTCAGGGCCCCTAATCCTGGAGGGCCCCAGAAGCATCATCTTCAGGGCCCCTAATCCTGGAGGGCCAGAGAAGCATCATCTTCAGGGCCCCTAATCCTGGAGGGCCCCCAGAAGCATCATCTTCAGGGCCCCTAATCCTGGAGGGCCCCTAGAAGCATCAACTTCAGGGCCCCTAATCCTGGAGGGCCCCCAGAAGCATCATCTTCAGGGCCCCTAGAAGCATCAACTTCAGGGCCCCTAATCCTGGAGGGCCCCCAGAATCATCATCTTCAGGGCCCTTAATTCTGGAGGGCCCCCAGAAGCATCATCTTCAGGGCCCCTAATCCTGGAGGGCCCCAGAAGCATCATCTTCAGGGCCCCTAATCCTGGAGGGCCCCAGAAGCATCATCTTCAGGGCCCCTAATCCCAAAGGGCTCCAGAAGGGACTTTAGTCCTCGTTGCTCAAACATTTTGCGTCGAAGTCTCAGATTTGATCAAAATCTGAAGTGAAGTTGTTAAATTTAAAAAGAAAATTGTGATCTGTGGGGGAACAACCCATTGAAGAAGATAACAGTTGTTACCCAGACCTCGTTGCTGGTTATGAAGGGGCCACATAATAGTTCAAACTTCAGGGGGCCCCCTTTGGCAAGTCAAGCTTTAAGGGGCCCCATTTGACAGATCAAGCTTTAAGGGGCCCCCTTTGACAGGTCAAGCTTCAAAGGCCCCCCTTTGGCAGGTCAAGCTTCAGGGGACCCCCTTAGACAGGTCAAGCTTTAAGGGGCCCCCTTTGTCAGGTCAAGCTTCAGGGGACCCCCTTTGACAGATCAAGCTTTAAGGGGCCCCCTTTGGCAGGTCAAGCTTCAGGGGACCCCCTTTGACAGATCAAGCTTTAGGGGGCCCCCCATAACAGTTAAAACTTCAGGGGCACAATAACAGTTAAAACTTCAGGGGCCCCATAACAGTTAAAACTTCAGGGGGCCCCATAACAGTTAGAACTTCAGGGGCCCCATAACAGTTAAAACTTCAGGGGCCCCATAACAGTTAAAACTTCAGGGGGCCCCATAACAGTTAAAACTTCAGGGGCCCCATAACAGTTAAAACTTCAGGGGGCCCCATAACAGTTAAAACTTCAGGGGCCCCATAACAGTTAAAACTTCAGGGGCCCCATAACAGTTAAAACTTCAGGGGGCCCCATAACAGTTAAAACTTCAGGGGGCCCCATAACAGTTAAAACTTCAGGGGCCCCATAACAGTTAAAACTTCAGGGGCCCCATAACAGTTAAAACTTCAGGGGGCCCCATAACAGTTAAAACTTCAGGGGCCCCATAACAGTTAAAACTTCAGGGGGCCCCATAACAGTTAAAACTTCAGGGGCCCCATAACAGTTAAAACTTCAGGGGCCCCATAACAGTTAAAACTTCAGGGGGCCCCATAACAGTTAAAACTTCAGGGGGCCCCATAACAGTTAAAACTTCAGGGGCCCCATAACAGTTAAAACTTCAGGGGCCCCATAACAGTTAAAACTTCAGGGGGCCCCATAACAGTTAAAACTTCAGGGGCCCCATAACAGTTAAAACTTCAGGGGCCCCATAACAGTTAAAACTTCAGGGGCCCCATAACAGTTAAAACTTCAGGGGGCCCCATAACAGTTAAAACTTCAGGGGCCCCATAACAGTTAAAACTTCAGGGGCCCCATAACAGTTAAAACTTCAGGGGGCCCCATAACAGTTAAAACTTCAGGGGCCCCATAACAGTTAAAACTTCAGGGGCCCCATAACAGTTAAAACTTCAGGGGGCCCCATAAAAGTTAAAATTTCAGAGGACTCCATAACAATTCAAGCTACAGCCTATCAGTGTTAAACCCCTTCAGAATATCCGGACTATCAATGTAACACCCAAACAGATTATCCGGACAATCGGTCTAAAAGAAACGTTCAATATATCCGGATTATCAGCGTAAAAGCGCCGGAATCCGGACGACTCAGATAACCGGCTTCTCTCCATTCGTTCTACCGAATTCGTGTAAGTGAAACTGTGTCATTATTTCACGTTCGAGGCGCGAAAAATATCTTCATAGAGACTTTGATTATACCGTCGGTTTAGGCCCCGTGAGGCGGCGGTGAGTCGGGGCTAACCACAGGCGCCGACACGACTTACGAGGACCGGCCGACCCCCTGAACAAAAAAGATAGCAATATGGAGAGGGGCTCAGAGGATAGCGGGGTGGAATCAGAGCGCATCTGATGGACCTGTCTGCCTGCAGGAGATCAGTTTGACCGCCTCATACGCCACGTATTGTTAGCCTTGTCATTAGAGCTTTGGTGACTGTGTGGACAAGATCATCTTGGAGTGAGTAGGTGAAGGGCAGCTTGTGAAGGGCAGTTGATGAAGGGCAGCTTGTGGCGGGCAGCTTGTGGAGGGCAGCTTGTGGAGGGCAGCTTGTGAAGGCAGCTTGTGGAGGGCAGCTTGTGGAGGGCAGCTTGTGGAGGGCAGCTTGTGGAGGGCAGCTTGTGAAGGGCAGCTTGTGAAGGGCAGCTTGTGAAGGGCAGCTTGTGGAGGGCAGCTTGTGGAGGGCAGCTTGTGGAGGGCAGCTTGTGGAGGGCAGCTTGTGGAGGGCAGCTTGTAGAGGGCAGCTTGTGAAGGGCAGCTTGTGAAGGGCAGCTTGTGAAGGGCAGCTTGTGAAGGGCAGCTTGTGAAGGGCAGCTTGTGGAGGGCAGCTTGTGAAGGGCAGCTTGTGGAGGGCAGCTTGTGAAGGGCAGCTTGTGAAGGGCAGCTTGTGGAGGGCAGCTTGTGAAGGCAGCTTGTGGAGGGCAGCTTGTGGAGGGCAGCTTGTGGAGGGCAGCTTGTGGAGGGCAGCTTGTGAAGGGCAGCTTGTGAAGGGCAGCTTGTAGAGGGCAGCTTGTGGAGGGCAGCTTGTGAAGGGCAGCTTGTGAAGGGCAGCTTGTGAAGGGCAGCTTGTGGAGGGCAGCTTGTGGAGGGCAGCTTGTGGAGGGCAGCTTGTGGAGGGCAGCTTGTGGAGGGCAGCTTGTGAAGGGCAGCTTGTGGAGGGCAGCTTGTGGAGGGCAGCTTGTGGAGGGCAGCTTGTGAAGGGCAGCTTGTGGAGGGCAACTTGTGGAGGGCAGCTTGTGGAGGGCAGCTTGTGGAGGGCAGCTTGTGGAGGGCAGCTTGTGGAGGGCAGCTTGTGAAGGGCAGCTTGTGGAGGGCAGCTTGTGAAGGGCAGCTTGTGGAGGGCAGCTTGTGGAGGGCAGCTTGTGGAGGGCAGCTTGTGAAGGGCAGCTTGTGAAGGGCAGCTTGTGAAGGGCAGCTTGTGGAGGGCAGCTTGTGAAGGGCAGCTTGTGAAGGGCAGCTTGTGAAGGGCAGCTTGTGAAGGGCAGCTTGTAAAGGGCAGCTTGTGAAGGGCAGCTTGTGGAGGGCAGAGCTGCATTACTTCCAGAATGTAACTCTGTCATCTGAACATACGTTTTGAAAATCAGTTTCTGAGTTCTCTTTTTTTTTATTGACACATGTCGATCAGTGAACGGGAGTACAGGGTGTGTCAAGAACTGCCTACCCTAGACTATATGAAGGGGAGTACAGGGTGTGTCAAGAACTGCCTACCCTAGACTATATGAAGGGGAGTACAGGGTGTGTCAAGAACTACCTGCCCTAGACTATATGAAGGGGAGTACAGGGTGTGTCAAGAACTACCTACCCTAGACTATATGAAGGGGAGTACAGGGTGTGTCAAGAACTACCTACCCTAGACTATATGAAGGGCAGTACAGGGTGTGTCAAGAACTACCTACCCTAGACTATATGAAGGGGAGTACAGGGTGTGTCAAGAACTACCTACCCTAGACTATATGAAGGGGAGTACAGGGTGTGTCAAGAACTACCTACCCTAGACTATATGAAGGGGAGTACAGGGTGTGTCAAGAACTACCTACCCTAGACTATATGAAGGGGAGTACAGGGTGTGTCAAGAACTACCTACCCTAGACTATATGAAGGGCAGTACAGGGTGTGTCAAGAACTACCTACCCTAGACTATATGAAGGGGAGTACAGGGTGTGTCAAGAACTACCTACCCTAGACTATATGAAGGGGAGTACAGGGTGTGTCAAGAACTACCTACCCTAGACTATATGAAGGGGAGTACAGGGTGTGTCAAGAACTACCTACCCTAGACTATATGAAGGGGAGTACAGGGTGCGTCAAGAACTACCTACCCTAGACTATATGAAGGGGAGTACAGGGTGTATCAAGAACTACCTACCCTAGACTATATGAATGGGAGTACAGGGTGTATCAAGAACTACCTACCCTAGACTATATGAAGGGGAGTACAGGGGGCGTCAAGAACTACCTACCCTAGACTATATGAAGGGGAGTACAGGGTGTATCAAGAACTACCTACCCTAGACTATATGAAGGGGAGTACAGGGTGTGTCAAGAACTACCTACCCTAGACTATATGAAGGGGAGTACAGGGTGTGTCAAGAACTACCTACCCTAGACTATATGAAGGGGAGTACAGGGTGTGTCAAGAACTACCTACCCTAGACTATATGAAGGGGAGTACAGGGTGCGTCAAGAACTACCTACCCTAGACTATATGAAGGGGAGTACAGGGTGTATCAAGAACTACCTACCCTAGACTATATGAATGGGAGTACAGGGTGTATCAAGAACTACCTACCCTAGACTATATGAAGGGGAGTACAGGGTGTGTCAAGAACTACCTACCCTAGACTATATGAAGGGGAGTACAGGGTGTGTCAAGAACTACCTACCCTAGACTATATGAAGGGGAGTACAGGGTGTGTCAAGAACTACCTACCCTAGACTATATGAAGGGGAGTACAGGGTGCGTCAAGAACTACCTACCCTAGACTATATGAAGGGGAGTACAGGGTGTATCAAGAACTACCTACCCTAGACTATATGAATGGGAGTACAGGGTGTATCAAGAACTACCTACCCTAGACTATATGAAGGGGAGTACAGGGTGTGTCAAGAACTACCTACCCTAGACTATATGAAGGGGAGTACAGGGTGCGTCAAGAACTACCTACCCTAGACTATATGAAGGGGAGTACAGGGTGCGTCAAGAACTACCTACCCTAGACTATATGAAGGGGAGTACAGGGTGCGTCAAGAACTACCTACCCTAGACTATATGAAGGGGAGTACAGGGTGTATCAAGAACTACCTACCCTAGACTATATGAATGGGAGTACAGGGTGTATCAAGAACTACCTACCCTAGACTATATGAAGGGGAGTACAGGGTGTGTCAAGAACTACCTACCCTAGACTATATGAAGGGGAGTACAGGGTGCGTCAAGAACTACCTACCCTAGACTATATGAAGGGGAGTACAGGGTGTATCAAGAACTACCTACCCTAGACTATATGAAGGGGAGTACAGGGTGCGTCAAGAACTACCTACCCTAGACTATATGAAGGGGAGTACAGGGTGCGTCAAGAACTACCTACCCTAGACTATATGAAGGGGAGTACAGGGTGTATCAAGAACTACCTACCCTAGACTATATGAATGGGAGTACAGGGTGTATCAAGAACTACCTACCCTAGACTATATGAAGGGGAGTACAGGGTGTGTCAAGAACTACCTACCCTAGACTATATGAAGGGGAGTACAGGGTGCGTCAAGAACTACCTACCCTAGACTATATGAAGGGGAGTACAGGGTGTATCAAGAACTACCTACCCTAGACTATATGAAGGGGAGTACAGGGTGCGTCAAGAACTACCTACCCTAGACTATATGAAGGGGAGTACAGGGTGCGTCAAGAACTACCTACCCTAGACTATATGAAGGGGAGTACAGGGTGCGTCAAGAACTACCTACCCTAGACTATATGAAGGGCAGTACAGGGTGTGTCAAGAACTACCTACCCTAGACTATATGAAGGGGAGTACAGGGTGTGTCAAGAACTACCTACCCTAGACTATATGAAGGGGAGTACAGGGTGCGTCAAGAACTACCTACCCTAGACTATATGAAGGGGAGTACAGGGTGTGTCAAGAACTACCTACCCTAGACTATATGAAGGGGAGTACAGGGTGCGTCAAGAATCACAATTAGAATAAAATCCCAATTAATCTTGTACAAAGTTTCATGAGGAAGCCTCGAACCTCAACCAGGCAGACAGATAGATAGATAGACAGCCAAGCAAACAGACAGACATTCTATTTTATAGACAGAGATCTGTCTCTATAAAAACTCTAAACCAGTCATACTGGTTTAGAGTTTTCTATTGATAAAATACCTTACTTATAATGAACCAACGTAACACATAAACCGGACCATGATAAGAATGACATGACATTTGCAACATTTTGCAACATGTAATAAAATATATAATGTGATTATACAGAGAGTAAGAGCAGGTCACAACAGAGTAAGAGCCCCCTTCAGAGCAGGAGAGATTGCTGAAATAGAGGGAATACAGAGAACATATACGGCACGCATAGACGAGATAAAGCACCTAAATTATTGGGATCGTCTCAAAGCTCTCCAAATGTACTCACTAGAAAGGAGACGAGAGAGATACCAAATAATATACACATGGAAAATACTGGAGGGCCAGGTCCCAAATCTACACAGTAAAATTACATCGTACTGGAGTGAACGATATGGAAGAAAATGCAGAATAGAACCAGTGAAAAGCAGAGGTGCCATAGGCACAATCAGAGAACACTGAATAAACATCAGAGATCCGCGGTTGTTCAACGTCCTCCCAGCGAGCATCAGAAATATTACAGGAACAACCGTGGACATCTTCAAGAGGAAACTAGATTGTTTCCTTCATGGAGTGACGGACCAACCGGGCTGTGGTGGGTATGTGGGCCTGCGGGCCGCTCCAAGCAACAGCCTGGTGGACCAAACTCTCACAAGTCAAGTCTGGCCTCGGGCCGGGCTTGGGCAGTAGAACAACTCCCAGAACCCCATCAACCAGGAATCAGGTCACAACAGAGAGACAGACCCCTGGTGTACCTGATCATTACCAGCCTTAACCTAAGCCTTCACACTAACTCAGGCCTCCTGCACCTACATAATAACCGGGTCAATAGACCTGAGGAACGCATCAAGGAAGCTTAAGACGGACGATAACATCTTAATCTCCACCTCTTAATTTTCACTTAAATAAAATCTAACACGGTAAAGTTTAGTACCAATTGGTTCAGGATCTTAAGCTTAGTCAACTGGTCGACTGGTCGACTGGTCGACTGGTCGACTGGTCGACTTAGGTGTTCGAATATAAAAACAAATAAACACATATTTATTCGACCTATAAAATAATGGACGGCTTAGAGGACAAGGAGCTGGGATATGAGGACAAGGAGCTGGGGTATGAGGACAAGAAGCTGGGATATGAGGACAAGGAGCTGGGGTATGAGGACAAGGAGCTGGAATATGAGGACAAGGAGCTGGGATATGAGGACAAGAAGCTGGGATATGAGAACAAGAAGCTGGGATATAAGGCCAAGGAGCTGGGATATGAGGCCAAGGAGCTGGGATATGAGGACAAGGAGCTGGGATATGAGGCCAAGGAGCTGGGATATGAGGCCAAGGAGCTGGGATATGAGGCCAAGGAGCTGGGATATGAGGCCAAGGAGCTGGGATATGAGGACAAGGACCTGGGATATATGAACAAGGAGCTGAGATATGAGGACAAGGAGCCGGGATATGAGGACAAGGAGCTGGGATATAAGAACAAGAAGCTGGGATATAAGGCCAAGGAGCTGGGATATGAGGACAAGGTGCTGGGATATGAGGACAAGGGGCTGGGATATGAGGACAAGGAGTTGGGATATGAGGACAATGAGCTGGGATATGAGGACAATGAGCTGGGATATGAGGACAAGGAGCTGGGATATGAGGACAAGGAGCTGGGATATGAGGCCAAGGAGCTGGGATATGAGGCCAAGGAGCTGGGATATGAGGCCAAGGAGCTGGGATATGAGGCCAAGGAGCTGGGATATGAGGCCAAGGAGCTGGGATATGAGGCCAAGGAGCTGGGATATGAGGCCAAGGAGCTGGGATAAGGGAGCTGGGATATGAGGCCAAGGAGCTGGGATATGAGGACAAGGAGCTGGGATATGAGGCCAAGGAGCTGGGATATGAGGCCAAGGAGCTGGGATATGAGGCCAAGGAGCTGGGATATGAGGCCAAGGAGCTGGGATATGAGGCCAAGGAGCTGGGATATGAGGCCAAGGAGCTGGGATATGAGGCCAAGGAGCTGGGATATGAGGCCAAGGAGCTGGGATATGAGGCCAAGGAGCTGGGATATGAGGCCAAGGAGCTGGGATATGAGGACAAGGAGCTGGGATATGAGGACAAGGAGCTGGGATATGAGGCCAAGGAGCTGGGATATGAGGACAAGGAGCTGGGATATGAGGACAAGGAGCTGGGATA